CAAACCTGTATAGGAGTCCTGGTGTGGCACTATGGATTAAAGCACCAGATTGCAAAGCCATTTAAACTACAAGGTCAGCACCTCAAGCTTTCCAGTTGCTCCTCAGAAACCCTATACAGGGTTGCTATGGGTCAAAACCGACTCAATGGCACTTAACAACCACCACCACCTGTATATAGACAACCTCTGAAGGACAAAGAAACAGAAAACACTGCGGTGCACATATTTCTGATGAATGTTCTATGCTCTTTGAATTGGGCCATCTAAATAACTTACTTATTCAGAAAGTAAACTTGTTATAGTTGCTGTTGTGAAGTGCCACTGAGTCTGTTCTGGGTTCCCAAGGCTATAAATCTTCATGTGAGCAGATTTAAAAAACAGAAAACAGAATATACTCCTTTTTTCCCATATTACTTTACCAAGTGTGTAATCTTTTCCCATTGATTACTTTATTAAGACACATATATTATGTCCCCAAACGTTCCTTCTACGTAAAAATAAGAGATAATTCATCTCTGGATTCCCTGCAGCTCCTGGTTCAGTGTATCAAAGTACTAATAACAATGTTGTTGTTACCTTGTATAGGATTTCTGAGAAGTGGCTGATGGATTGAATTGCTGACCATGAGGTTAGCAGTCCAGTGCTTATGGTACAGTGCTACATCAGTACCCCACAATATCAATAAGCAATTTAAAAAACAGGTAACAATTTCTTGAGCACTTGTAAAATGACCTTTAATATGTATTACCTTATTTAAGAGGAATCCTGGTATGGCACTGCAGGTTAATATGCTGGAATGCAAAGTTGGTTTGAAACACAAGATCAACGGTTCAAGCTCACCAGTCGCTCCTTGGAAACCCAATACAGGGTTGCTATGAATCAGAAACGACTCAACAGCACTTCACAACAACAGCCGCCTTATTTAAGGTGTGCACAAGTATTAAATTATTCAATCCTCTAAGGTAGGTATTGCACATTTATCACCACAGAAACTGAGGTACTGAAAAGTTAAGGAACTTGCCCAAGGTCACATAGCTAGAAGAGTACAATAAAGATTAAAAAATTAACAGCTGTCATTACTTGAATCCCTAAGGAGGTACTTTATAATTACCTATGAGGTAGGTGATATTATTGTTAACAGTACAAATGAAACCAACCCTTAAGGAACATCCCCCAGGTCACAAAAAATTCCTTGAGGGCAAGCAGCAACGCTAGGATTCAAACCCAGGTCTGGCATTTCAAACCTGATGCTCTTCCCACTAACTACATTCTTGGCCACTATAAAACCAACACAAATCCCACTGCCATCCAGCTGATTTCAAGTGCTAATGACCTGACAGGACACAGTAGAACTGCTCCTTCCTCAGGGTTTCCGAAACTGTAAATCTTTACAGGAGCAGACAGTATCATCCATCTCCTGTAAAGCAGCTGGTGGGTTAGAATCGCTGACCTTGAGGTTAGTAACCCAATGCCTAACCCACTATGCTGCCAGTGCTTCTTCTGCTACTTGTAAGTGCATTACAGCAAACTGTTGTCTAAAAAGTGATACTGCTACAGCAGTGAGTTCACACATGGGTTTAAAAAAAAAAAAAAAAAAAAAAATTCCTGCCACTTTCCCATTCCCTGACTTTGCTACATCCCTAAATTCAGATATGAACTGCAACTACTCAATACATGAACCAGTACTGAAAGCGTCACTGTATCAAGGAAGATTTGCTTGCAAGACTATGTCCCAGACTAGCTATAAATAAGTGTGATATAGTATCTGATATTTATGGGGTAAATTAATTATAATTTCAGTGATACATTGTAAGTAATAATATCCTCTACTCTAAGCACTTAGTGAAGGAAAAAGAATTCTTAAAGGAGGTGGAATGGAGGATACATATTTGAGCTTACTATAACCATATTATACCAAAACAAACAAAACCAAATGTCTCAGAATGAGACAAAACAAAGTTATTTCTATATAAAGAAACCAAGATTTCTATTAATCAAATCTACTTAAAAAAAAAAGTTTCAGAAAGCAGAAAAAGGAAGGTGCAAGATTTCAGAAAACAAAGGTACTGGTCTATGGATCAGGTTTCTAAGTTTCTTTAAGTTTATTCAAAAGGGGCAACAACTAGGGTTTTAAGTTCTAAAAGTACTCTTTAACAGGTAATTTCTATCAAAAGAATTCATTTACTTTCTGAACATGTATGTCCATGGAGGAGGGTGAGGAGAATATATTTTAGTATCATATTTCAAGTGAGTATTTATTTAAATGTTAACAAATAAAAATTTTTGAAAAGTTTCACCTAGAACTGCTAAGAATCAAATTGTTAAGTGCCATTAAGTTGGTTCTGACTCAAAGTAACCCTGTATAGGGTTTCCAAGGAGTTGCCGGTGGGTTTGAACTAACGACATTGTGGTTCACAGTCCAGTGCTGATCTACAGCACCATACCAGGATAAATCCATAAATAAAACAAATTAATAGATTTTTTTGGATACGACTGAGAAAACAGAATCCAAGTGGGGGGGAAATCTGGTATTTTGTTTGCAGAAAATCTTTCAAGGAAAAATTCATCTACAGCAACCCATCATCGTTATTAACACTAAAATTTCCCAGTGTCAGGAAATGAAAACTATTTTCCAATCCTGACAAACTTTTATTGAACCTTTTAATTTTCTTGGCTGTAACAAATAGCTAGTGTGGTCTTCTTAGATTCAAGTGCCATATAGTCAATTTCTACTCATAGAAACCCTGTTTAGGGTTTCTGAGGAGACACTATTGAGTTTGAACTGCCGACCCTGTGGTTCCAACTGACTTTGCAATCCAGTACTTATAGCAAATGCAGGTATTGGAAAAGTAACTTGTATACAGAAAAAAAAAAAAAAAAAAAAATCAAGAAACAGTGCTTCTATATCAATCTGTGTTTTCTTCCCCTAACCAATACCCTTGTAAGTGGAGGCTTCAACAAGTTCATGGAAAAGTTCCATTATCTTTTAATTCCACTTTTCCATGAAGTTTTTAAACCTCCTCATATACACCAGAGGAGTCCTAGTAGTGGAGTGGATGACGACTACAAAGTCTGAAGTTCAAATCTACCAGTCACTCCACAGGAGAAAGAGGAGGCTTTCTGTTCCCACAAAGATTTACAGCCTTGGAAAACCTACAAAGGATCACAGTGAGTCTCAAGTGCCTCCAGGGTCCACAATCACAATACCAGCACATATACCAACCAAGTCGGTTACACTGTGTCAGAGATCTATTTGTATTCACTTAAAATAACTGTCTTTGGCGTTTAAATCAGGAGAATGAGCAGTAAGTGTAAAAGATCTCAAGTCAAAATATCTTACGCTTGCTATACCTTTAGAAGGCAAACCTGATGCATGATGCAAGCTAAAGTGGAACAATATTCTAACGTCTTGGAAAAGTATGAAGAACCTTCATAGGTCATATTCTAGGTCCTTTAAAAATTATTTTAATCTTTGCTGTATCAATGATTTTTCTGCTGCCGTTTTCCCAAATGGTGAAGAAAATAAAGTCTGTGGTTTAAATTGTCAATCACAGACTGTGGTTAACTACTGCGTGCAAGACAAATAATGGACTCTTTTAAAGCCTATTTTTAGAATTAGTATTAATCTTTTACTTAAATTTAGACGGGAATATATGGGAACATGGTAGGGGCTGGGACAAATAAATAGCTAGGGGGAGATCCAGGTGACCCAAACGCAGTTGGTTAAGATTGGTAAAAAAAAAGAAAACACAGTGATGTAAAACAAAACTGTGTCGGATAAAATTTGTTTTAAAAAAATGTTTCAGGATAACAGACCCTAAGTGATTATTAACTTATTGAAATGGGTTAAAACCGAAACTGTTTCAAACATCAGCTTCCCTTTTACGAGATCCCCAACAGTTTTGTTTTAAAAATTACAAAAATGTTTTCTTCGCACCCCTTCCTTTCCCTTCCCTCCCCAAAAGAATGCATTTCCATGACTACCGACTCTTTTTAAACATGGATGATGGAAAGAGTCAAAAATTTACCTAAAAGAAAACCAAAAGAAAAAAAAAAAACCCAAGAGTTTTCATCATCCCAACTTAGCAGAAAAAAAACCAGAAAACAGCATATCCCCATCGGGGTGGGCGCGAGGGACAGAGGGCATGAATAAAATACAGTACGAAAAGAAACCTTGGGTTTCGAACTTTATTGCACAAAGAGTGGAGAGGAGTAGGTCAGACGTTGCAGCATTTCCCCTCGCGGAGCGGGCATGGCAGATACGAAGGCCACCGGGAAGGCAGCAGGCACCTTCACCTCCTCTGCCCTCAACTGTCGCCTTCTTCCTCCTCCACCCCCCACGGCACCCCCGCGGCTGGCTAGGCGGCCGGCCGGCCAGGGTCGGGGCGAGAGAGCGGCGCGGGGGGCGGCCGGAGCGCGCTCCCCGGCCGGGAAGAGGCGGCTGGGGGTGGCGTGCAGAGTGCGGGGTGCGGGCTCCGGGCTGCAGACGGCGGCGCTTGTTTGTGCGGGGCGGGGGGGCGGCTTCACCCTCTGCCCCCGCCCTCCCGGCCGGGCTGCGGCCCCTGGCCGTGCCCAGGCCCCGCCGGAACGGAGGAAGGCCGGAGAAAGAGCTCGAAAGAGAAGAAAAAGCGGCCGCTCCCCGCCGCC